TTTGGAAGTCTGAGATGTACCAGTTTTTCATAACAGATCGTGCACGAGGTTTAGGGGGGCTCGCTATCAAGATCACTTTCCCTTGTATTGATTCACAGTACTGGGCATCCCAATGTATCAATGCAGATAGTACTCAATATCCGGCGAGTGGAGGATTGAACGCGAAAGTGGGAAGAAAGCGTCAAGGGAAGGAATATCGGACACGCCTACCTGTTGGCTCCACCTGTCTGATAATTAGCTGCCCACTAAGGCAGGCTCGTCTTGCTGAATAGTCTGGCCCTGCCATCCTGACAAGCCAGTGCACTCCCCACTCTTCCTACAAAGCTTCCTAGCTAGACATTTGCGGCAAGGATTTCCGTTCTTTCACACCCCCGGATATGGCTGAGAACTACCGCAGGCGTCCAGGGTGGCTTCATGCCTATGGTAACCTTCCTAGCCGTATCCAATCATAGATAGGATGCTCCACTATGAACAATGGGATGTCAGGAAGCTGTTTAGCTCGGCCCGTGCATTTGCTTGATATCCTGTTCATCCATGGCTGTATGGCGCATAAACCATGGCATCTCCGATCAAGACTCCCACAACTGTAAGTGGGCATCATCAAATCAGAAACAAATAGGCTATAGAATCCCATATGTTAGCCGTTCAGTTCCATGATGGCATACGTCAAAATCAGTTGACACCCTTCTGGTTCTCGTGTTCCTGAGTGTGGAGTTTGCTGGGCGCACAAGAAGCGGCTAACAGAATCTTGATATCATCTCGGTGTCTCCGAAACTCTAGACTGCACTCTGCACGAAGGGAAGGTAGTTTACCTATGCCGCTCGAACGGCGGTAGAGTCTCACCAGTGCAAGTCCACAGCGAAGCAGAGATTGCAAGACCGCATACATCGTTTGCCAAGAATTAGAGGAGTCATTCACCAGAGGCCAATGGCATGATGTTCGATGCCGTCCCCGAGGATCAGGTCAGCTGTACAAATGTATCGAGCCATAAGAGCAGGTCTTCCTCATTATAAGCTTACATCTTGGCAGCAGAATTAGCTTTCGGAGTCAACAATAAGCTAATCTGTGTAACGTCCTGAAAATGCGCAGTCGTTCAGGGCACCTGCAATGGAAAATGGGGTCCTGATATATTCATACCAAAATCATTCATCTACCCCAAATATCCATCGCCGTTATAGGAATTAACACGACTTAGGTGTTTTAGTCTCCTTCGCACAACATAGCCCTTCGATATGTAGGAACCCAGCGGCCTTGGAGTATAGCCTAGAAGGGCTTTGCGGCCTTCGTAGGTCGTGCACAACGTCGACTGCCCTATCCTCCGCTTGTCGCACAAGCCTTGATTGCGGGGAGGATGACTAGCAGATTGTGACAACCCCATACTTGAACTGACAACATTAACCTTCTCCAGGCTTGGCGCGTCGGTGGTTCCTGCGCCGAGGAGGGCTGACTTCATGAGCAGAAGTAGCAAGTTTAACTTTTAAAGAGCACAAAGGGGTGTCTCGGATACCCTGCGAATGGAGCCGAGCCAGTACACCCACCGAGACAACAGGTTTTCATTGGTCTTCAGTAGTACAGTGGTAGTCATGCGATAAAAAAAGAAAGAATACTTCGATGGACTTGTCATTCAACTGAGGAGTAACGAGGCGCTTAAAAAGAATGGCTTTCCTCAGAAGGCATCATTCTCGAGCTCGATCACGACAGGACCCACCAACAGATTGACAACCCAATAGTTGAGCTCTTTTATGCATGTACAACGTCAATTTATATTGTGTTCATGCTAACAAACCAATCAGCACCATCATGAGATTCACCCTGCTCGCATCCATGGCCCTACTGGGTCTTGCCCTCGCTACTGCAACGGAGTCCAGCACCGACGACGTTGGCAGCACCAAGGTTACCGATGGCACTCTCGATGTATGGGCCATGATTCACAATTTCGTCTGCAAGCCTAACTCTCGTTGCCTCAACAGGTAAACTACTGTGGCGAACGCTGCGAATACGATTGGGAATGTCGTCGTGGAAACCGCTGCCACGAATGCCGCAAGCAGCACCACGAGGTGAGTGTACATTGTTCTTAGCTAGATCGCCTACTCATTGTAGTTACTAGCGCTATGGCCGCTGCCGTGAGCGATATGATTGAGCTTATCCCCTACTCAGCCTGGCAAAGTGAGGTATGCAGAAGGACGTACGGTGGTCGGAATGGAAGTTAAGATTAAGCTGTTACCTTAGGATCAGATACTAAATCAAAGATGTTGCTGCTCGAGAAAGTGAGCGCATTCCCGTTGTCTGGGATCTTTCAATGCGAGTGGAATGCCAGTAGATTGTGTAAAGTGGCATATACCAAGACGGCTGGCATCAGCTGATATGATATGATGCCATGGGGAGAGTATACTACTTGCCGCTTGATTCATCAACAGAGTAATATTGCACCGCTGTCGAATTGACGTTGCAGTGAAGTGACTTGGCTAATGTTGAATGATGAGCTGTTACACTCTATGAATTTACTACATTTCTCAGAGTCAGGCCAATTCATAGCGCGTGCAACGTCGGACAACAGATGAGCTATAGGGGATACGAATGCAGTGAAATAATCAAAGTGCGTGGGCCGTATTCGAGTGGACCCTGATCGTGGCCCTAGATATTCCTAGATTCTAATTTGAATATGCCTAGAGGTACTATCTCAGTGGATACGGGTGGTAAGGATCATGCTCTCTGGAAACATGTGAGCGATACTCAACTCTGTGCTTTCAGGGCCGAACCTGACAATCTTAGAGGAAGGGTCTTGTTTACATGGCGGATGGATCAAGTACTTAATCTACTAGCACGTGTCCAGGAAAATCTAGACTGTACAAAACCTGGAAGTATGCTCAGCCAACGCATCCATTGAAGACGCATAGGACACCAGGTCTTGGGGGCGTCTGATGAGTGAAATGTTGGGTGTGACTAGTCGATGTGATACGGAATTATTCCGGCATCGGATATCACCTCAACGTAGCCGAGGCAGTACTTGTATAAAGAGCATCAAGTGGACTCTTTTTTAATCATAGCAAACCAACCTATTATCCACAATGCGAGTCTATTCCTCGATCGACTCCAGCAACGCCCTCGCCTTCCACAACGGTCGCGTATATACCATCAACAACGACCAACCCTGGGCCGAGGCATTTATTGTATCCCCGACGGGGGTCATCGAACACATTGGCAGCAACACAGCCATCCTGGAGATCGCCTCGGCTCGCGGCCTCATCCAATATGACCTCCGCCAGCGCTTCGTCATGCCGGGGATTCACGACGCCCATACGCACCTGCTTGTCGCCGGTCTCCAAGGGCTGAACGAAGCCCGCATCGGCTTCGACTCGACCCCCGACAACCTCACATCTCGACTCGCTAAAGGTTCCTGCGCATGCGCCTACGCCAATGTTACCGGGGACTGGCTCATCGGAAACTTCTACCAGGCCAGCCATTTCCCGAACGGCGTGCCCGATCGCAAATATCTAGATGAGCAGTACCCTGACCAGCCCGTGCTCATTCGTGAAGTCTCCTGTCACCGAATACTGCTAAATACGGCTGGACTTATCCGTGCTGGAATTGATCCTAATGGTTACCCGGATCCTGATGGCGGGTACTACGTCCGCCGAAAAGATGGAATAACCCTGACCGGGGAAGTCGTCGAGAATGCCATGACGGCTGTGTTTGACTGTCTGCCTATCCCGCCGTTGGCGCATGTCAAACGCGCGATCCACCATGCGATGTCCATATGCCACAAATTTGGAATCACATCCTGTCAGGAAGCGTCGGGGAATACGCTCTACTTACATGCAGTGCGGGAATTGGAGCTGGAGAACCGGCTGGATCTTGATATCCATACGCACATCGTGTCAGCGCCGGTGTATTTTGCCATGGAACCGAAGGATAGTCTAGCCGGACTGATTGATGTGGCTGAAGGGTTTAGGAGCCGACATGTGCATACTCAATTTGTGAAATTTTGGTTGGATGGGGCTCCACTACCTCCGGAATTCACGCAGGCGGACTTGGATGCGAATGGACAACCGATTCCGACACATTTGGCGCTGGATAAAGACTTCCTTTACCAGGCTGTGAAGAAATACGACAGCCGGGGCATGACGTGTAAACTGCATGTCGCCGGTGAGGGATCTGCTCGACTGGCGCTGGATGTCATCGCCAAGGTCCGGGACGGTAATCCGGCTGGTCCCAGACACGAGCTTGCCCATTGTAATGCGGTGCACAAGGGTAAGTCCATTTCTTTTTGCTGAATGGTCGCGCGTACTGATAAAGTATCAGATGACATTGCGCGGTTTGCTCTGTTGAAAGTGACTGCGGAGATGTCACCCGCCATCTTCCATCACGATGTTGTGGAAGAGTATCCCGAACTCAACAAATGGGCGTTCAACGGAGTGCTCGCATCGGGCGCTCTAATGACCATTGGCTCGGACTGGATGCTCCCCGAGACGCCATCATTATTTGATGCCCTGGCTGCGATTGTTGAACGCGTCCGATACAAACCTGGAGGGAGATGCCGGCGTCTCGCGTTGGGGGAGACGGCGATGCAACGCGGAGGTGAGATCCTCTGTCGCGTTCTGACGCTCAGCGGAGCAGAGGCTGTTGGGGCGCAGCATCGCACTGGAAGTTTGGAAGTGGGCAAGATGGCCAATTTTATTGTCGTCGATCGGGATTTGAGCCAGGGGAATTTCAAGGGTGCGAACGTGCTGGAGACGTGGTTCGAGGGAAGGAAAGTGTATCAGGCGTAAGGCTGACGGAAATTGTACGTCCTGCCAAGCAGTAAGTAGGGATGGTTACATTGTTGAATGAAATCATTGTTGAGTACAGGCCGCGTACAAATGATTATGTTGTTGCTGCCTGTTCCAATCCCAACGTTAATTTACCAGTCTATATAGCCAGGGTCCCCGCACTAAATACAACTAACCGAACCGGGCTGAACTTCAATATCTTCCATAATCTTACCTTTAGTCTCCACAACCATGTCGAATAATACCCATAATGTCCACCTGCTCGAGTTCGTCGCACAAAAGCGCTTTCATGAGCGGATAGTTCTGCCTGCTACTGCGAACCATGGGCGTCTTGCGGTTACCTATGCAGACATCGGACCCCGGACAACGAAGGATGGCTCACCCACCCCGACTATGCTGCTGATTCAGGGAATGGCAGGATCCCGGCTATGGTGCTGCCAGAAAGACCATCTCGCTAACAAACTGGAGGTCAGAATGATCTCCATCGACCGGTATTCTTTGTCACTATCCCTTCCTTCTCGGATGAAAGCTGACATCTTAGACCCGGCATTGGCGGTTCAACTCGGGTTCCCCCTGGACAGCGAGTCCAAGTATGGCTGGAGACAGTGTCAGCGGTGTTGAAACATCTATCCATTAAGCACGTCGTCCCTATATCTCACAGTGCCGGCACTATCTACATCTTGAATTTGTTGATGCATCGACGCGACCTGCTGTACCCGAAAAGGCCAATGGCAGTACTGATGGGTTAGCTTATCTTTTGCCATCAACTAAACTCACAGCAGGCTAACATTCGCAGCACCGTGGGTGGAGCCCGAACACTCGGACGTTCTCTCCTTACAAATGGCCAGGATGATCCCTACTGGCGTTCTGAAACAATGGAACAAGGTGATGAAATTCGTAGTCACCAAAGCAGTCCCTTCGCTCTGCTCGAGCGTGGAAGTCCTCGCCTCGATGGGCGGCAGTATTCCCCGGGCGTCCAAAGAAGACATTGAGCACCGTGAACCAAATCTTACTGCAGATGAATTGGACCCACGGACCGCCGAGGAGTTGGAGAACTTATGCATCGAGTATATTTTCCTGGAGGATACCACAGGAATGAATGATGAGGCTGTTGTCTGCTTGAAGAAGACAACCGGGTTGTGGGGAGTCTGTGAAGATCTCCCAATCTATATCCGATGGCTGGTGCGGGCAGAACAGTGGTACCAACCAGGCCACCCGGAGGTGAAGCAGCCTTTGCAGATCAGGGCCATTTTTGCAGAGAAGGATGGGATGATTGGACCCAAGGGACAGAAATACTTCGAGGACTGCTTCGCCAGGTCCGATCTCCACGGAGTGGTCTCGTTTGAATCGGTGATGGAGAAAGGGACGGGACATGACACGCTCTGGGGCTTGGACACTGCATTATTGAAGACTCTGAGAGATATTCAAGACACGCTCTCTCAGTAGGTTTGCCCTTGGATCTTTTGCGTGCTGGTAGCATTGCATGGGGCATCCCCAAACAGCAGGGCTTCCCATCCGAATATCCGAGAATGGCCCATTTGTCAGCAGATCCCCAACCCGAAAAATGTCACCATCGGAGGGTCAATTATTAATTCAATTCAACCTCACGGACGCGCTGGGTATAAAACCCACCCTGCCATTGTTCATCATGTCTCCTTCGCTACAGCAATTGCCTCTCACTCCCTTCCTTCACACCTCTCCATCGCCATGGGTTCCGTCCACCAAGCCCCCCGTGTGATCCCCTCCACGGAGACTCCCTACTTTACCCCCGCCAACAATGGCGGCGAAGCCCTCAACCCCGCCGACCCCAACACTCCCACGCTCTTCCGCCCCTTGAAGATTCGCGATGTGACCCTCAAGAACCGTGTCGTTGTCTCGCCTATGTGCATGTACTCCGCCGAAAGCGATACCTCCTCTCCCTTCGTTGGCGCCCTCACGGATTACCACATTGCCCATCTGGGCCAATTCGCTCTGAAAGGCGCCGGTCTCGTCTTCGTCGAAGCCCAGGCTGTCCAGCCCAACGGGCGCATTTCCCCCAACGACGCGGGTCTGTGGGAACACTCCCCCGAATCGGAACAATTCAAGAGTCTGCAGCGCGTGGTGCGGTTTTGTCACAGCCAGGGTGCCAAGGTAGCCGTCCAGCTCGCCCATGCGGGTCGCAAGGCGAGCGTGCTCCCTCCGTGGGTGGGCGTGCAGGCCAAGAAGCCCTGCGTCAAGGCGGACGAGAGCACAGGCGGATTCCCGTCCGAGGTGGTCGGGCCCAGCGGTGGTGCGGACCAGGCCTGGGATGGAACTGGCGAGGGATACTGGGCGCCTCGGGCCTTGACGGTTGAGGAGATCAAGGAGATAGTGCAGGCCTTCGCCAAGAGTGCGGAGACGGCCATCCGGGCTGGTGTTGACGTGATCGAGGTCCACGCTGCTCACGGATACCTGATCAACCAGTTCTTGAGCCCGGTGACCAACAAGCGGACGGACGAGTATGGAGGCAGCTTCGAGAACCGTACACGCATTCTCCGGGAGACCATCACCGCCATTCGAGCGGCCGTCCCCAGCGGTACCCCGTTGTTCCTGCGGATCAGTGCGACGGAATGGCTGAACGGACAGGCTGTTGCGGCGGAATCAGGCAGCTGGAACATGGAGAGCTCGCTCAAGCTTCTGCCTCTGCTTCCAGAGCTTGGAGTCGACCTCTTGGATGTCAGCTCCGGCGGTAACCACCACAGCCAGAAGATCAACATCCACACCAATTACCACATTGATTTGGCCGCACAGGTGCGCAAAGCCATCCATGCGACCGGCGCGAAGACGCTGGTGGGCGCGGTCGGGTTCATCACCGAGGCCGATCAGGCCCGGGGACTCGTGGAAGGCGCCGACGAGGCGCACGCCGCCAATGCGACGGTATCTGGACCGGAGCCCGTAGCAGATCTGGTGTTGATGGCGCGGCAGTTCATGCGTGAACCAGAGTGGGTGATGAACGCGGCGAAGAAGCTGGGAGCGAAGGTGGAGGTGCCGGTGCAATTCTGGCGGGCTGGACTGGTTTGAACCATTGAGCGATCTAGATATAAGACTATAGACCCATATAATCCACTATTGCAATAGAGCGATGAGATGATATAAGAAATCTACTAGTGATAATCTCAATTGCCGAGCCGACCCGAGCAAGACGGCGGCATACGGAGACCTCCGAGCACTGCAAGATCAGGGCTACTTGCTGCTTCGGGAATGGCATCGCGCAATCAGAACCTGAACCTTGGGGGCGCCACCGACTAATGGATAGCTAGTAACTAGTAGTACTTAGTTGCAGCTGTAGCTACTTATTAATATGGATGATTACTTCCTCCCACCCTTCATTCACTACCCCGCAGTTCCATCTCTACAACACCGACAACTTCCCATCCCTTGATCCCTCCTCATCCTCTCCACTCCTCTTCCACCCGCCCTAGCACTAACCATGGCTCTCAAACCCGGCGATTCCTTCCCTTCCGACGTTGTCTTCCAGTGCGTTGTCCGTCACACGAGTAACCTTATTATATTTAACGAACAGCCAGGTACATCCCCTGGAGCGAAGAAAAGGGCGAAATCACCGCATGTGGCATCCCCATCAACTACAACGCCTCCAAAGAATGGGCGGATAAGAAGGTCGTCCTGTTCTCTGTTCCCGGTTTGTACCCACCCTAATCACTTTTCTTCAAATAAACATCCGACCAACAAAACATCATAATAGGTGCATTCACCCCCACCTGCTCCATCAACCATGTCCCCGGCTACATCCAGAACCTTCCTCAGCTGAAGGAGAAGGGCGTGCAGGTTGTCGCAGTGATCGCCTCCAACGATCCTTTTGTCATGAGCGCCTGGGGAAAGGCCAACAACGTAAAGAATGATGATATTGTGAGCCCCTCCCCTCGGAAATATTTTCCTTCCTCCATTGCTCACGAGGCTTCGATGGTAGCTTTTCCTGACTGATCCCGATGCTCGCTTCGCCAACACCCTTGGCTGGGCCAACGCTGGTCGTACCGGGCGTTTCGCCATTGTCATTGACCATGGCAAGGTGACCTATGCGCAGATTGAGACGGAGAAGGGTGCTGTTAAGGTATGTACCTTTCTCTCCCCATTCTTGTTTAGTATTGGGTAATGTATACTAATAAATGTAGGTCTCGGGCGCTGATGCTATTCTGGCAAACCTGTGAGTGTTGAGCGTTCACTAGATGCGATGTTGTAGAAACAATCTCATTTGCATGATAAAAGTAGCTACAGCATATGAATAGTAATGAAGTGAACTGTCCGAGGTGGAATCAAGTCCAAAGTAGTAGGTGGTACTATATATTTATCCACATAGACTGATTAGAGAGTGCTATCAAGTCACACCTGCACTTGAGTCATTTTAAAACCCCCATGCCGATACACAGCAGTATTGAATAGTACTAGTACCAATTTCCTGCTTTTACACAGTAAGCCTTACTCCGTATCGAGGCTCTGATCAGCCAGCCAGTCCCACAGCTAATCACACTATAAGCGGTCAACCGGACAAATGGAGGACAGACAACCAGGTCCTCGCACTAAAATGCTGACAGGATTATCAATCCAGATCGGACATAAGCATATTGTCTCCGCAGCCACTAGCAGCCTTGAAATGCTTGAACATAACCCATTTTGAAGCAATCGAAACCGCCCGACCAGGATCGAAGCCAGCTGAATAATGAACCCTTCAGGGATCGATGCCTGACACTAGTCCTGTCTAGGGCAAGTCTCCTGTGGCCCCGCGACATTGAGTGACTAATCAGCAATCACCCCACCAGAGCTATGCCTGTTTGATGTCATCATGTTCAATTCCCCCAGCCAGACCCCGCCAGGCATTTAAATAAACTGTGATCCCTTCTCCCCAAGATACAGAGTAGAAAGCAAACCTCATATCATCAACTGACTTTCGATCAATTAACCTTATAATAACAATATATTCAAAATGGCCCCCAAAGTCCTCGTCGTCCTGACCTCCCACGACCACCACAATGCCAACAACAACCCCACCGGTTGGTTCTTGGTGAGCTTCCTCCCCAATCCCCGATACATACCTTCCAAACCTCCTCACTAACAAAATAATAATATAGCCCGAATTCGCCCACCCCTGGGACGTCCTGCACTCCAAAGCCGAGCTGGTGATCGCCTCCCCAGCCGGCGGCAAAGCCCCACTGGACCCGGGCTCCATTGAAATGTTCAAGGAGGACCCCGTGTCCCAGAAATTCCTCAAGGAGCAGGAGTCCCTATGGACCAACACCGTCAAGCTGTCGGATGTGGTGTCGAGAGTTTCTGAATTCGATGCTATCTTCTACGTTGGTGGTCATGGACGTATGTCTCCCATGCCTTATCCATCTACACTCAACATAATGCTGATAACTATCTCTGGGATATAGCCATGTACGACCTCTACAGCGACAAGACCTCCCTGGCCCTAATCCAGGCCTTTGCTGTGGCCAAGAAGCCCGTCGCGGCGGTGTGCCATGGTCCTGCGGTGCTGGTCAACGCTACGACGCCCTCCGGCACGGCGTTGTTGAAGGGTGCGGAGGTGACTGGGTTCTCTAATACCGAGGAGGACCAGGTCCAGCTGAGTTCGATTATGCCGTTTATGTTGGAGGATGAGTTGAAGAGGGTGGGAGCGACGTATGTCAAGGCTGACCAGCCGTGGGGGGAGAAGGTGGTGGTGTCGCAGGTTGCTGAGCTGGGAGGAGCGGTGATTACGGGTCAGAACCCGGCGAGTGCGACTGCGGTTGGAAAGGCCATTTTGACGGCTTTGGGATTGTAAGTTGATTTGGTGTGGTGAGGGATTGTTATGAATAATGTCATTTCGATACGATGAGAATGATATATGCTATGTTGTTTTATCTAATGTTGATTGTGGTCAACAATAATTATTGTGTCTGACAAATCTAACCTTATCTAAAATTGCATCAACGGATTGCACTCCGGAACGCCCAGACCACATTGTATAGGTCATGGTAATACCCAAACCCGGGAAAACAAGCACAACAGTAGCACTTTTCAACCTTGCTTGACAAATTGCTCCTGAACCTCCAAACTATGCTTCGCAAACCGGCTCTTCGCCCGGATCCGCTCCCCATAGAACAAAAACAACAATGGCACACTGCAGAACACCGTGGCCAACGCCGCCAACAACGAAGCTGCCACGTTCGCTCCCAGCCCATCAAACATCTGCCGCGTAAACAGTGGAAAAGCCCCCGACATCCCTGCTCGGACCAACTGCACCGCCGCCGTGCCACTAGCCGAATAGCTCAGATAGCTATCTGCCAGATATCCATATAACACAGTATCGAATTCGTTCAATGCGTATCCAATCAAAACGAGGGAGACCGTAGGGACGATCCAATGAATATCCTCTGCCTTGGGGGGAATGGTCCAAGCGAACCACCACAGCCCAATCGCAAAAGCAGGCGCCCCAATGGCCAGTCCGGTGAGTTTATCTTCTGGTTTGACGGGCTGGGAGGCTGCGTGTTTGGCGTCGATAATTCGAAAATCGATAATGCGAGTGAAAGTGCTGAAACAAACACCAACACCTACGGCGAGGAAAGGCAAAGCGGCAGCTGATGGTGTGAAGTTCATGGACTCGTAGATGGGCTGGAGTGCCTCGGTGAAGATATAGACCAAGGCGAAGGAGAAGGCGATCATCATGGCCATGGTAAATATGAGAAGCTCACCGAAGAAGAGCTGCAGCGGTCGGAACAGCGAGGCTTTCACGAAGGTGCGGAGGTCAGGGGAGTGGTCGTGGGTCAGAGGCTGTAGGCTGTCGTGGCCCGTTTCGTGACGGATGCGTGAGACCTCTTGGGCCAGGAGCAGGGCGGGACGTGATTCTCGGATGAGGAGGAAGAACGCGCTCATGACAGCGAGGATGATCGTGTATATGTAAAATACCCAGCGCCTACAGAATTAGAACTAGCTTTGGATAGCCGTAACAGGGAAACATACCAATGTAAACTTTCAACGACAAGGATGCTGATAATCGGGCCAATTAGCAGACCGACGTTCGAGGCAATGGTCCAGAGAAAGGTGGTCCAGATGCGAGATCGCGAGTTGAACATGTCCTCATTGCTGCCGCTGCCAACGGTGTATGGGATAGCACTCAAGAATCCTCCGACGATGCGACAGATGACCACGGCCACCAAAGAATGAACGACCCCAATGATCAGGCAACATAACGCACTACCGGTGCTGCTGATAAAATATAGCTTTTTGCGCCCAAAGCACTCGGACCACGGAGGGAAGACAATCGCGCCAACAACCTGCCCCATAAGGAATCTGTATGGTCAGTCGGGTCCTGTCAGAAGTCCAGGAGAACGTACAATGTCACGAAACAGAATGTGCACAGGGTATTTCCAATATGGTATTCATTTTGAGCCTCTGAAGCCGCCGATGTCTATGATCATTAGAAACGCCACACGGTTGGATGAGAAACATACACCAGCAGTACTCGTAGCGGTTCTGCGGTCGTTAGCAGTGTACCAACATCGAGGTGTAAATACATACACAAAGAGATCCAGCAGAAAAATCAACCCGATATCGTACACCTTGCGTGTTGCACTCCAGTTGCGGGGATGCTTCTTGTTCCCCTTTGCCCACCGGACATATTGTCCATCTGGCGTGAACTCCAGCTCATTTTTCAGTAGGTATTCGTCCATGTCCTGGGCTTGACCGACGTGCTTGGTTTTTGATGAGCCTCCTGGAATATCTTCCTCGTCTGTCGATTTATAGTCACAGGGGACTATATGTAGTTCGTTCTTGACTGGGGCCATGTCTACAGGACATATCTAAAAGTAGATCGGCTGTGGTTTCAGTCGATCATCCCTGTAAGGTGCATCTCCCCTGGTCCGCAACATGTAGTACTTAGATAGTGCGTAGCACGCGTCAGGCACTGAATCTGGTAGAGGATCATCGTGCATTGAGTTACTTTGCGTGTCCGCCAGAGAGCTTATGTGGATAAACTCGTGTCTACCCTACCAATCAAGGGGTGCGCCATGATCTGGAGATATGTGCAGGTGATGGCCCAGCATGCAAAACGATGCTGAAATGGAGGCTCGGAGTACTGCTGGGGGCACGCGGGGTTTATGGAAATGTATCTTCCTTGAAGCACGAGTATTCATTGGACAGCGCCGTGTTGAGGCAAGGAAATCTCTATAAGACCAGGAAAGTAGAAGGAAGCCAGTCCAAGGTAACAGGTGTATAGGGAGGAATGCGTGCGCAGCATTCCAATTAGCTGATAGTGACCGATCCATATTCTACGTGGCCAGTGCAGTGGAACGGATGCAAGGGACAAGCAGATGACGAGTGATCTGCAGAAGGCATTCCGTACCAGTGTATTGCGGAAATTCTGGAGACAGCAACGGTACTTTATGCGTTTGAGACGATCCCCCGGAGCTTTTCTGTACTTCATCGGCTGCCTGATATACCCGGTGCATCTGCCTGTTTCAAAGTGCGGCAAGATCAAATTAGCATCAGCTGGTGGTGCTCTCAGCTTTAGTGGTTAGAGACGGCTGGGATAGTAAATCTGCAGATCGAGAGGCAGAAAGTTCAATAAAATCTTCATGGTTGTTTCAGTTCCCCTGCTGCTTGTCGTAGAGATGGATGCGTCACAGATGTCCCTCGCAGGCAACTAATGTGGAGTAGACGCATACTCTTGATGCTCCAGCTCTTGAAGCTGGGGTATAGTATAGTAAGGTCATGGTAAGCAAGTGAGCCACTGCCAGTGGCAAGAGCTAGAGGCGTAAGTGCAATAACCTGTTTAAAAAACTTGTGCAGCTCAGTCTGTCAATTCCAGATGCAACAGAGCACACTTCTACAACATCGTCGTCTCCTAGGGAGCGTGGGAGGTTGTATTGCAGGCCATAAGTGGGTATTCACGTTGGACGACCGTCATCGATGGGGAAAGCGCATTGGCTGAACCAGAGCAGTAGATGTATGGAGTAGCAACCACGCGAGCAATAGCATGTCCAAGGAAGTCCTATTAACAAGAAATGACCCTGTGGAATGTTGATGACATCCCAACGGGGCAACAGGTCGGGGCTGGTTCAGCACCCCACATCAGGCAAGCCTGACGGCGATCCCCCCTGAGTTCACCGCCTGCCCTACCCCCCGCCGGTTCTGCCGGACCCCGCAGAAGCAGCAGCTGCAGGACATGCCCTCAACTCAACAGTCAACACACATCTTATTAGCCATTCTCCATTATCAGTTACCACTTTTCTCACCGACAGCATGCCCCCTCACGAAGGACTGGTCCACCCCAAAGAATACGATATCAAGGACAGCAATGTGGAATTAATCGGTTCCGACCTTGACCACCGTGTCAAATACAACTCCGCCGCTACCGAGCCCGCTTGGAACAACGGATCTATTGGCCAGGAACCGGGTCTGTTCGTATGGAGAATCGAGAACTTCGAGGTTATACCATGGCCCAAGGAGCGGACGGGCGAGTTCTACAACGGAGATAGCTACATCGTGCTGCACTCATACAAGGTGGGGGACAAGCTGGGTCATGACATCTTCTTCTGGCTGGGCAGTAAGACCACCCAGGATGAAGCCGGTACAGCCGCTTACAAGACGGTCGAGCTGGATGAATTCCTGCACGGCACTGCGACGCAGCATCGCGAGATCGAACAGGAGCCATCCGAGGAATTCTTGGGACTGTTCCGGCACATCTCCATCCGGTCGGGCGGCGTGCGGTCTGGATTCCACCACGTCGAGCCTGAAGCACCCAAGGAGATCCTCACCTTGCTTCGCGTGTTCAAGCATCCTTCTGTAGGTCGCTCGATTATTGTGCACGAGGTGGAGCCCACTTGGGAAAGCCTCGACGAGAATGATGTGTTCGTGCTGGACAAGGGTGATAAGATCTGGGTCTGGCAGGGCAAGAACTGCAGCCCCATGGAGAAGGCCAAAGCTGCGCAGGTGGTCAATGACATGACTCTTGCGAAGCACATTGATGTCGAGGTTCTGTCGCAGCTCGAATCGCGCTCCAGGGTCATTGTGGACTTGCTGGGAGGCAAGGAGGCCGACCCATCCACATTCCAGGCTCCGCGACCGGGGCGTTTCGCTAAACGCACGGACGACGGCGGCGATGTGCGGTCACGCAAGCTCTTTAGACTGAGCGACTCGTCCGGCACACTCACGTTCGACCTGGTCAAAGATGGCCAGCGTGTCAGCAAGTCCGACTTGGTTGGAAACGACATTTTCCTCTATGATGTTGGCAGCCAGCTGTGGGTCTGGCAGGGATCCGAGGCCAGCCAGCGTGAGAAAGCGCTGTGGCTCAAGATTGCCCAACACTACGTCCGTCAGCTGCAGAACCAGCTCCCGGAGGCACACTACATCCCGATCGCCAAGGTCGTGGAGGGCTACGAGAGCCCAGCATTCATGAGAGCCATCGAGGCCTAGGTATGTGCTTAGGCCATAATTGTGTAATTTATGTATATGGTGTGAGACAGGCATCAATGACCCAGACACGGTTACTGGAGCGGCAGGTTCCAAACAGTTCATTGTCTAGGTAGGGTATTATATACCATCATCGGTCCAGTACATTGGATCCTTCGCAAATGTTCCATTTGAAATGTCACAGGATTGTAAAGACCATGTCATGTGTATTGTGTTCTAATCGATGCGGACTGTCGGTTGACTCGAGGATGACTTGACGGCAGTGAATTGAACCAACCCTCCATCGTTATCTTTCACACGAAGCATGTCTAGGCAGCTTCGACATGTCCATAACGTCCAAAATGCAAACAGCTGACTCCAAACTCCGATGTGCGCCCGCCAGAAAGTCCCATTTATACATCCTCGTGTCTCTTAACGCCATTCCAGCCCTACGTTCAGATATTAGCACATACCAATCAACAGATCACCAGCTGACATACCTTATCTTCAAAATCTACCATCTCCCTCTTCCTCCCCCACCAAATCCTCCTCTCCCACCAGGCGGTCCAAAGCCTCCGCCTCTTCGACCACCAAAGCCACCGCCAGGAGGACCGTGGGGTCGTCCGTAGGAATGCATCGGCATGCCCCAGCCACCACCGTAGTGCGGGCGCGGGGGAGGGTAGCCGTAGCCACCGCCCATGCCCATACTGGGGTATCTCCGCCGGTTGCGGCCCATCAGGGACATGCAGAGACCCATCGTAGTATTCTTGTAGGTTTATTCGTAGGATGCAATGATTACAGGTAATTTTAGATTGGTCTTTGAATGGATTCAAAGGGGATTGTGTCTGTCAGGCTGTTTGTTGAAGTGAAAGGGCCCAGGCGTCGAAGTAGGTAGGGCAAGGGATAAATACAGGCGTCGTCAGTCATGGCGTCATCCAAGAGCCGTGACGTAGTACTGCCCCTTCTCCCACTACAACCTTAACTTTGCAACCCCAAGGAACAAAGATAAATTTGTCTATTATATTTCCTGAGTAAATCTCTTGGCTGTCGTAATTCATTCAGTTCGCCATTGAGATGGGGGAATTGACAGTCTGGCGGATATGAGAGGAGGAGCCGAGAATCTTCAATGTCCTCATGGAAATAGTGACATGGGCTTGATGGAAGTCTCTCCCTGAGCCAGTGGCATATACCCCGATGTCAAATTAGGTACCACATCTGTCGACAATCTATCCTATAAGAGTCTCCAATCCATTATCGATCATCACGTCAAGCCAATGCACAACTGGAACTTGACCTTGCCATGAGCCACTCAATAAGAACCGGTCCGCCCGAGCCCAAGTTTCTCTCACAATCCTACACGCCCGCCGCACTGTATCCAAGCCCATATAAGACACCAGCTTGTCAAGTCTAGAATCGACAAATAATCGCCAAAACTGTATATCAAATTGTCCACGTGTCTGAGTAGACACCGGCGCACCTTCAGTGGATACGTCCATGTCAACATCCATGTCCTCAAGTCGCTGAAACTGAAGCGTACTCCCCGCTATCACAAGTATCGGCATTTGAATTGCCCTCGTTCCAGATGTTTCAGGCAGCTTGGCAATCAGCGTGAGGATCGTGATGGCCAGAGTATTCAGATGTTGTCGTTGAGTATCGCGATTCAACTCCCATTGGTCCCGGCGCAGCAACTCGGGAAACGTTCGACACAGCTCGAGCATAATTGATAGTTCATAGGCTCTTGCTAGGAACCGGAAATGGAGGATTGGAGTAGATGAATCACCTGTGCTTTGGAACTGATCCTGACGGGGAAATCTGTATTGGCATATTAACTCTTCTAGATGCTTGCCTTGCGATAGAAGTTCGTGTCGGTCTTTTTGTGTCCGTTGCGGAGAATTTGATGCCCGCCGTAGATGGTGCGCCTGTCGGGCGAGAGAGCCGATCCTTGACAGATAGATGAAGAGTTTGGGAGACATACCGCTCCAGGGATGGATAATTGACATGTTGCTTTCGTCGTCGCAGAAGGGTAGGAGGTAGTCTGTCGTGTCTGTGCTGTTGTCTACAACAAAAGATGTCAAGGCTTCCCAGTAAGCTAAAGCCCCGACGAAGAATTGTCGAGGACGCGGGTTATCTGGTCCCAGCAAACAGGGGTCTGGGGAAGGCTCGGAGTGGCTTTCGCAGTATAACGACTTGAAAATAGTCCTTGCCGCTTCGAGGTCCTGGGTTTCAAGCGAGGATGGATCATTGCATGACTGGGTAGGGTTAGAAATGGTGAGGGTTATATCCGCAGCAGAAACGCAGCAGAGATATACACACTGAAGTTTTTCCAATCATAGTAATCCCAAAAAGTAAGACGGTCGTAGATCTGGTGTTCTTTCGGGAGAGTAAAGCCTTATCGTGTGAGTCTGACGGTGACTGTTTGTCCAGAGCGTAGAATTCAGCAGCAAGTTTTGAAAGCGCTGCTGTGTAGTGGCTTGCAGCCAGTTTACTCATCTCACGCTGTTGCTGCGAGAGATGGGCAGCCGATATGGATAGAACGCAGGCATCGATCAAGGGGTGCTCAGTTGAGAGCCTTGCGACCCATTCTCGCAGCGGATTCGTTGGGGAATCATAAGCGGAAAGGATACGGCATGTGTCAGAAAAATAATATGCTCGCAACTTCGCAGACAGATCAGTTAGTCGTGATACTATCCTAGCGTCATGTTGTTTCCCCGGGGTGCTTTCGGCGTCGGATGCTGGACCGCTGCCTGTGGTCGAAGGATTTGGCGCTTCCGTACTTTCACCATATGGGTCTGATGTCTTGCATTGCTTAATGGTCTTAGTAGAGGACTGGCTACGCTCAAGCGAAGGTTGCAGATCGCTCAGTAAAGCAAGACGTAGCTTCTCTGCCGGTTCAGTGAACCAACTCATAAGAGGTCCATTTTGTGATGAGGACACTGATTGTTCCAATTTTTGTGAAGCCAGACCTTTCGCTTCATGCTTAACCGACCATTTGACATCCTTGTGATACCCCGGGCAGTCATATCCTCTCCGAGAACAAGCCACGCAAAAAGGCCTAGTTTCGTCACATTTGATTCGCTGTGATAATTTGTGTTCTGACGTTGACCTGAGAATCGCCGACTAGCTTACACGCTGCTTACACCGTGCGCACCCCGCTTTAATCTATGTTAGTGGCTTGAATATTTAGGGTGTTATTAGGACTACATACCTCGAGATTTGACTGCTCTTCTTGATTGAGCCAGTTCTTGGCGTTTCATATTGCCCCATTACAGCCATGAGGGCCTCACGCACGCAGAAGGAAGGATGAGGAGGCGCGTCAATGTCCGTTACAGGATGCTTGCAGCTGACCACTCATGAGCTCAGGTGCTTAAGAATTGCAATGGTACTGACATTATGCTAAGGATAAGGTTGAGTGGCAATGGACCTGCACAATGCATAATGTGGTACGTTGTGTTTCTGGCTTAGGTAAACGCTTATGAATGACGGAATTTGTCTTTGTGCATTGTGCCTTATGTGCTAATTGGCAGTCGTAATCCACCACGGCACTTTAGTAAGTTGTGTCATTCTGCCCCCTTCTCGACCAATCGCACTTTCACGCCTAAAGTGGTTTAGCGTTAGACGATCCGGAACAGAAGGCACTCGACCCTCGGAACTATACATGTCAATTGACTGCCGATTTGTAAACCGGGGTCAATTCCGGGATGATGGAGATGGCGTGATATCCAGGTACCTATGGCTAAGCACATTTAGGAAACACTTTCCAGAAGGCATCACTTACGTGATTACCAATCCCAATGAGCAAGATTATGTATATAAGTGCTGGATGAACACCACAGTTTTCCAATATCTGCAGAACAGTACAGTGGGATATTGCAATACTACCAACAACTTAAAGACCGCAAAGCCTCGTAATCAATTATCCCAGCAAGATGGCCTCCCCACTAAAGAACGTGGTAATCGTCGGAGTAAGTGAATTCAGACAATCCTCACTGCCCTTCAATAATAACATCAGCTCTCCCAGGCCGGAGGAAACCTCGGCTCCCACGTCCTAAAAGCCTTCCTCTCATCCAAAGCCTTCAACATCACCGCACTCACCAGAGAGTCATCTACCAGCACCTTCCCCGACGGCCTCCAAGTCATCAAATCAGACTACAGCCACGACTCGCTCGTCTCCGCGTTCAAGGGCCAAGATGCCGTGATCAGCATCGTAGGCAATGCAGGTCTTTCATTCCAGCAGAAACTCATCGACGCTGCCGTCGATGCAGGAGTGAAACGGTTCATCCCCAGCGAATTCGGCAACAACACCGCCGATGATCGGGTCCGGGCTCTCGCACCGCTTCTCGACGGCAAGAAAGCCAATGTCGATTATCTCAAGGGGAGAGAGGACCGGCTAACTTGGACTGCGGTCATCACTGGTCCATTCTTCGATTCGGTAAGTTGTATCTACGGCACACACATATAGGACCTATTCTTTGCTACGTCCCATTCAAGAAGGAATGCTAAGACGGTACCACAATAGGGTGTCAAAAACGGCTTTCTAGGCTTCAACCTCCAATCCCACGAAGCAACCATCTACGACGACGGCACCAACACAGCGTCAGTGAGCACCCTCGCTCAAATCGGCCGTGCTCTCGTTGCCGTTTTGCAGAACCCGGAGGTTACCCAGAACCAATACGTCTACGTCGAGTCATTCACCACCACTCAGAAGCAGATTCTCGGTGCTCTGGAGAAAGCCACCGGCAAGGACTGGAAGGTCACTGATGTTGCCTTGAAGCCGGTTATCGAAGAAAGTACCGAGCGGCTCAAGGCTGGGGACTTTACTGCCGTGCGAGTTTTACTCTTGGCGGCTGGGTGGGCGAGGTTCCCGGATGGGCCTTATGGAGATTGGTCACGGGTGGCCGGGGGATCGTGGAATGAGAGATTGGGGCTTGAGAAGGAGAATTTTGATGAGGTTGTGGGGTCGCTTGTTAATTAGGATGTCATGGCTACCGTTCCTTGTTGTTCTGTAGCAGGACCAAGTACTTGGAACGAGCAATAAATCTTTGATTAAATAAATAGAGATATTAAGTATGGTATCTGAACTCCACCTCGCCATCACCTGTCTTCACTCGTCGCGTGTCTTCCTTCTCACCCGCCAGTATGTCCTCTTTCATCTTATTCTCGCGTCTCAGGTACATTGCATGAAGCGCGACAATTATCTGCGATACCACCAATGCACCAAGGGAGAATGCATTCCCCAGTACATATGGCGATGTGCGGTATACCTGGCCCGCTACGATACCGGCACAGTTGCCTACCGTCTGCTGCAGACCGATGGCAAGTGCACGCCGGTACTGCGGCGCCACGTTAACGTTCAACCAGGCGACGTTCAGTCCGACGCCAGTGTAGACAGCCACACCGCAGAGGTATGTCGCAAAGTATTTTACGGGGTCGCTGGAGACAGTCAGGAGGAGGATGTAGCCGACTATGCCGAAGATGTTGGTGACTAGGATGAACTGTGCATGATGTTAGCACACCTCTCACGTCATAGCAAACTGATGGTAAGTGGAAAAGAAAATACATACGATAGAAAACCTCCCAAAGCGATCCGCGCAAAACGCAACAGCAATAAACACAATCGCAGCCCAAATATACACCGGTACCGTGAGGACATTACTCATAAGACTATTGTACCCCAGACTCCCCAAGATAGTTGGTAGGAAGGTACTAAACCCATAGAGAAGAATATCCTGACAGAACTGGGTGAGGGCCGAGAACATGAGCTTGGGATCACGCAGAGCAATGCGCATCTCCTCCCAGCTGAAGTGCTCACTGCCCATGTACTTGCGGCGTTGTTCGTTGCGCACGCGCATCATGTATTTCTCTTCTTCGGTGAGGAAGTACGCGTTGCTGGGGTCGTTGGGGAGACCGAACCAGATTAGGACGGCGCAGATTAGACTGAAGAGTCCTTCGATGATGTAGACCCATCTTAACCTCTCATTAGCATTGGGAATAGGGATTGCTGGGGATCATGTGGAAGGGGATATGAGCATACCTCCAGCCGGCTTTGCCGCCTATACCGTCCATGTGCAGCAATGCGTAGGCTAGCAGACCGCCCACGGCACCGGAGATGGCGGCGCAGCTCATCAGGTATGAGACGCGCTTTGCCTGTTCTTCTCGACGGTATACCATTGTCAAGTACAGGTTCAGACACGGGAAGAGGCCGGCTTCGCAGCCTCCGAGGATCAACCGTGTTGCGTAGAGCGAGGCAACATTGTGAATGAATCCCGTGAACACGGTGGTGATAGACCAGATGATGCATAGACCGGTCAGGATATTCCGTGGCGTGAGCTTCTTCATTGCTACCGCCCATGGTGCTTCCAAGAGCACGTAGGTGGCATAGAAGATAGACACTGCGGTGGAGTACTCGCTGTCGGAGGCGTGGATGTCTTCAGGCATGCCAGCTACCTTTACATTACCTGGATGATCATCAGCGAGCTGCACCAACGTGGGGAATATGCATTGGGGGATATTCACCGATATTACTGCGGTCAAGGAAACACGACAGGTAGGTCAACATGATGATGGGCACAAAGGCCATGTCGAGCTTCATGAGAAGCTTCTTCTCCTTCGCTGGGTCGAGCACAACATCGTCAATGTCGCCAATGGCCGTCTCCTCAGGAGACGCCTGCTCGAATGGCTTCTCGAGCGACTTGCGCTCAACAACAGGATCCATCTGATCGGTAGTCATGATGGATGAAGTGAGCTGTGAATCCCAGAAGAAAGTGGGGGAAGAGGGAAGATGATGAAAGAGTCAAAAGCGGAAGATCTGGGGTTAAGAACCATGGACCAGGGCTTCAGGGTAGCACCTGAAGGCGGCAACGGATCGATAACACGGCCATTAAACCGGGAAGCTATCTATCGTGAGGGGCGAGTAGCATTACGCTCCACAGGGTCACCCATCGGGCCGATGGACTGATAAGCAAAGTTAAGATTGCCCGGGAGGATATCATCTGGCAGCTGCTCATTGGTGAAACTGCGGACTAGAGCGACCAACGCTTATCACCCTGGTGGAGCACCAACACGTTTATCCCCGGATATCGGAGCCCACCTGCCGATAGAGACACGAGGAGTATGGGGTAGATACAGAACAATTGATAGGCTATCAGGTCTATCGGTCGAGAGGTTATTGATTTATATATGCTAACTCAATGTCGAAGTTACTGCACGGTAGGTACATATGACAAAAATTCATGCAGCAACCCAAATGACCATCATAACCCAGACACCGGAAACCCTAAGCAGCCAGAAAACCCGATTTCTGGCTCGCCAAAACACCATCACCAACACAGCCGGCTACTCCGGGGAGAACCTGCAAGCCAACCTTCTCATTCTGCCCGAGAAATACAGCCAGGACTTCCATAACCTCTGCCTCCGCAACCCCGTAGCCTGCCCACTGTTAGGAATCAGCAGCATCCCGGGAAACCCGCACAAAATCTCCCCAACGCCATGCATCCGTAACAGCGACTTTGACATCCGCACCGACTGTCCTGCATACCGAGTGTACACGCACGGCAAATGCATCGCGGCCAACAAACGCGACTTACTGGATCTCTGGTCCACGAATGATGATGAAGACCAACAAAGTTCAGAAAACTACACAGCCTTCCTCCTAGGCTGCTCATACAGCTTTGAAGCCGCCCTCTGCAATGCAACCCCGCCTCTAACCCCACGACACCAAATAACCAACACCCTCGTGCCAATGTACCGCACCACGCTGCCTCTCGCGCCTGCCGGGATCTTCACCAACGCAACATGCACCGTGTCGATGCGCCCATACCACGAATCACAGGTCGAGCGGGTGCGGGACATCACGCGCCCGTATCTGGCCACGCACGGGGAGCCGATTGCTTGGGGTTGGGATGCGGTGAAGCGCTTGGGCATTCGGGATATTCACGATCCGGATTTTGGGGATAAGGTTGAGTTTGGGGAGGGGGAGGTGCCTGTCTTTTGGGTATGCAAGATATACTTTCTGATTCTTCCTTTTTGTTTACCCCCTTGCGTTTGATGAAGTGTATGTGGAGTATGCTAATGCGGGATCATGGTTAGGCGTGTGGAGTGACGCCACAGATGGCGGTCGAGGCGGCCGGGGAGAAGATTGATGGGTTGGTATTTGCGCATGAGCCGGGGCACATGCTGGTAACGGATTGGGTGGTGGAGGATCTGGAGACGTTGAAGGGGGGAATTGCGGCTTTCCGAGCAAAGATGTGATGGTACTAGATATACACGAAAGACATACACTATAGAAACACCTCTTTTAAAGCGAATAGCGTCTTGGATACTAGAATAATGCTACACATTGGGAGATGGACTAAAAACAATCCTTCATCATACTCGACAACTCCTCCCCATAGTCATATCGCTGCCACCCGGCATCAAAACCCTCGGGCGCCATGCCCATAATCTGCGTCTCGAGATTGCCCACCGCTTCGAACCACTCCGTTAGCTCGCGCGTCATCTGCGCCCCGTCCAGCGGTGACTGCTCCTGTGTGCCTGTTGACTGGCTCGGTGCGACCTCCACCACGTTGCCAAGGTCCCCTGTCTCCGCTGGCACTGCAGCGCCTCCTCGCCACTCGGGCTCCGGTTGACTCTGCACCGGCCGATGCATTAGCTGTGGACCCAGCTTCCTTAAGCTTCGAATCGACTTCCACAGCCGCTGCGAGATATACGACCGCGTCGAAAAGCCCTTGATCAGCTCCAGGGCCATGTAGAACTCTTCCTTGCAAGTGGTGCTAAAATGAGTAGGGGCCTGCGTGACAGCGAGAAACACCACCGCGACAGCAGACACCAGAAACCAATTGAATGTCACCTGCTGCAAGCGATAGATGTCCGTCGTCTCATTCAAATTGGTGATGAATCGGATAGACTTCTCGGCTAACTCTACCACGGTCTGCGACTCCGCAGGGTACTTGGCGATATGTGCCGCCGAGTGCAACACAGGACGATGGATCAGCATGCGCAATTGATTCGCCCTCAGATACAGCAGAGATCGCAAGCGACGCAAGCTCCGTGGCTCCTCCTCCTGGACGTTATCCGAGTCAATGTTCAAAACGGGAGGAATGTCTGCCGTCCATCGCTGGACTTGCCAATCCAGATAATTCATCTCCTCTTTCTTGATCTCATTGGTGTTGTTGAATGCTGAAATAAACTTCCAAACTTTCGCTGCAATCCGACTATACCGAATCATGACACGCAGGTAGGGCGTCTTTTCCTCCGGTTCAGGTAGCCACGGGTCAATGTCGCTGTCCTCAAGGGAGAAGGGCATGCCTGTGCCGAAGCTCCAGCGGATGTCGAGAATGTATATCGACCAGAAGAGTCGGAGGACGCGGTCTTTGCCGGCCTTGATTATGGAGGGCTGGTTGAGAGTTTCGCGGCGGTGAAGGCCTCGTTCGAGACACATGCGCTCGACGATGCCGATGGTGCGCCAGGCGAGGGTTTCTTCGTCGATTTGAAAGTAGAAGATGGCCTACAACAATTCAGATATATTTCTGAATATAGGGCATGGGTGTACTCACCACCAACGTCAAGAAGATGATGTTCTTGATCCCCGCTACTCCCCAGACAAAGTTATCCGCCACTTCTCGGACACTCTCGAACAAGCTCAGCGCCAGGGCACTGCTTCCCGCTGCCTCGGCTGTAAGCGCACAAGCAAACACCAGGCGCAGAATATGCACAGCGGTTCTATCCAGCTGCTCTTCGTTTCCCTGAGCAACGGGTACCCGGGGCCACGACTCCGCCCCATACAACAACTCGACCTGGTGCAGGAGCTGCGGTAGCTCTAGCACAGGGTACATAATTCCCATTTCTTCCTCGTACACGCGACACAGCCGCAACGCTTCACTCTTCCCGATGGTCCACAGGGGATCACCGGACGGATAATGGCGCGTGCGTGGCGGCGACGCAGCGACAGCCATGGGGATCACCTGAGAAGGGGCCGTATCGCCCTCGTCGCCGTCAACATAGCCGTCTTCAGCATCCGCGACATCGGGATGTTCTTCGACGATTCCGCGACGCTGAAGGC